GGAACCTGATCTCTATTGTATGAAATGAGTCCTAAGCATGGTTTCAATTGTGTAAATAGGAATATAAACCTAATAACATGTTTTCTACCCTTTTGATAGCTAAAGCATGCATATTTTCCATTTTCCATCCCTGTTCACTAGCCAACCCCATACTTGTTTCCAAATTATTACAGACCAAATGATTGAATTACAAAAGAAGTGCAAAAATAAGAAGTTACAACCATAGGAAGCTTGATCTTGACTTCCTCTCTGAGTTATGTAATAAACTACTTCAATGCCAATATTGTTCCAAAGCCTTGCTCATATCTGGGTGTGTCAGAGTTCCCTAAGGACCTTAAAGGATCCCGGGCAATGCTCACACCCGGATTGCATAACCAAGAGAGTGAGTGGAATGTGGAAGAGCCAGCTCTTATGTTTCCAATTTCATAGGGAGCTCAAGGTCCCAAGGCAAGGCTCACACAAGAGGGACAGAACCTAGTATTCTAAGAATATATGTGAGAGTGCTTGACATAGTTTGAAAAGGAGTTTGTGGAAAAAACTGAACTGTCAAATCCATTTTTTTGAAAAGCAATCAGTAACAAAGGTGATTGAAAGCAATTGTAGTAGTAAACAAAACTCAAACTCCCAAGATGGGATCACACACAGAATCAGCAGTCACATAAAGGGGGTCAAGAGATTTGGGACACACAGACATTTGATTGTAAACATATAACCCCAGCAGGAGTCTGGTTTGGATATGCACAACAATAGCGCATACTGGCATGATCACAAACCAGCCAAAAGAACACAAACACATGGAGGGGATAGGGGTTTGGGATGGCAAATACACAATAAGTGACTGACAGAGTATGCCTTAAAATACACATAGGGGAGTGCATTAATCTAAAGGGGAAGGGGACATATTGCATCATGTTGGTAATGTATCTTAACCGGACCACAAGTAGAAGTATACCAAAAATGAAAGAACCTGAAACAAATAAAGAAGCATGTTGTTGTTGAAGCTTTAACATTAAACTAGGACATACCAGTTGAGAAATCAAAGTGCAGAAAAGAAAAGTAATCTGGGTTCCAAAGTCCAGCCTTGGCTTCCAGCTGGCTAGACAAAGTAGTAGCACAAGCAGTAGAGAAAGAAAGAGAGTTTGAATGTGTAAGTGTATGTTTTTGAACTCAGTTGTTCATGTCTTTAAAGAAGAGAAGGTAGGGTTTTTATAGCTTTGAAAACGAGTAGAAAATAAGGTAACAAGTAAAGGTTTAACACAAATATGGCAATAATCACAATCAGAATCCCATTAATACAAGTACTTCCCTTTAATCAAGGAATTACTACTTAACGGATACTAACGGGATAATTAAGGAAATAAAATCTATCTGAGGAAGATTGATTTCTGACCATATAAGGGATAGTAAAAACATAGAGTATACAATTGAATCTAGGTACATAATATACTTAATTTGGGGAAAGAATTCAGCGGGTAAAACATCACAGCAAATAAAGGGAGGAATCAATCAATTTAAACAAATGAGTAAAATTAGGATTCATAAGAAAACTTTTTTGCAATCAGTCATAACTTTAAGGAAATAAGGATTAATCAAGAAATGGTCATGATTCTGCACTTCAACATATAAATAGAAAGGAATGAACATGCATATTAGACATGCAGGGTCAAACATATTGACAAAAAAGAGCAAACTAGATGAACATAAACATACAGGAGTGACATGAATAGGCTAAGGACTATTCAAAGCATGGTAATCAACAAGGTCAAGCAGTCATGGCTCACACGTATAACCAAAGTGAAAAATCAATCTAACAGGCAAAGAAAGTCAGAAATAAGTAAAGAACTCACAACAATAAGTGAGAAAAACCTTTTAAGAAATTAGGGTTTTAACAATAGTCGAGTTAAAAAATGGTAAGAACTCAGAATCAGATAAGTCAAACAAGGAAAAGGATTCAAACACAAAGAACTTAATCGAACCAAGCATGCGTATAAAATAAACAAAGAGAGTTTCAAAACCCCGGATAGAACCAAAACACTTAGGTTTCAAACACGATAAACCAGGTAGAAGAAGAACATAAATAAACCATTTAAACATAGTAAAATCATAAGCTAATACTGAAAAATCAGAGAAAAAGTCTTTTAGAAAAGTTTAAGAAAAACCCTAATTTATGAAGACGGGAGTCGCTTTGAAAAAATCGGAAAAGCTTTGAGGAAAACACTTAAGAGGCTCATAACATACACATATCTAAGATGGATCTGAAAGAAAATTAACAGACTTTAAAGGTTAGGGTTTCAGAGAATCTAGAAAAGTGAGAAAAACTTCGAAAAGTTACCGATCTAGTCGGAAAAGCCATGATCTGACTCGATCGGCCATGGATAGCCAGAAAAAGACCATAGATAAAAGTCAAACAGGATCTGGATTTGATCTCTTTGAGATCTTTCCATGGGATCACGAAAGCAGGCTACAAGGAGACATAGGAGACGAGTACACGTCTCAAATAGCCATGGGAGTCCATGGATTGAGTGAAGATTGAAGGGGTTTATGGTGGATTTGGATGGCGGCGGCTAGGGTTAGCCTTAGGTTTTTAGAGAGAGTTTGAGAGGAGAGGGGATTCAATGGCGGCTGACTGGTAAGAAATGATTTAGGTTAGGGGGTCGTTTGGGGTTAAAAATGGTAAGGTGGAATGGTGGCCGTTGATCTGAATAATCAACGGCCTAGATTAAATGGGGTAGGTGGGGATCCAGATTTGGTTTGGTTTTAAAAGGGTTAGGGTCGGGTTTAAATCAAAATTGGGCTGGGAATTTGGGATCTAATTTGGGCTATAATTGAAATACAAATGGGTTGTTATTTAAATAGCCATTTTTTCCTTTTTAATTTATAAAAAATAGTAAATAGTTTCTGAAAATAAATTGAAAGTACTAAAATAATTTATAACACATAAATAACAATTTAAAAATATAGGGCCCAATTTTATGTGTACAAAACATAATTAAATTTTAAAAGGGCCAATATTGCAATTATGTGCAATTTAGATTTAAAAATACTAAATAAAATTATAAAAATGTGTAAAAATTACCTTATCCATATTTTGGCATAAATATAAAAATACAATACATTAATTATCAAGATAATAATTTTGGAAATAATTATTAGGATTTTATGGATAAAAGGGAGAAAATAAATCAATTTAAACCTTTAAAAATTATGAAAAAATAATAAAATATTTGGACATGCTTTTATATGCATGCATATATATATATATATATATGTAATTTTGACGTTATTTTGCATATTAAAAATATATAAGGAAAAATTGAATATCAACAAATGCTGCTGAAATTCGTATAGAAAATCACAGATTGTGACGGTTTTTATGACGATTTTATTCTTCCGAAAAAGTTTCATTGTCAATGGACTTTTTTCTTGCTCCTCTCTGCGCAGGCTTCCTTGAGCCCTTAAACAATTTTTAAAAAGAAAAAGAGAAGAAGAAATTTTTATTGATTTGTTTACATTGGTTAGATGACCCTGTAAAATATGGCCCACGTGAGTATTTTGGTTTAATAAAATATATTTTGTTAAATTAATATTTGAATAAAATTAGAAGAAGTTAATTATGGTTATAACTTCTTACTAACCCACTTTGATGGAAATTGGGAATTAACCGATTGTCCCTCTCTCTGATTATTAAAGGAACAATAGTGTAACTCCATCATATTCTATTCTGAAACGAACACAGAAAAGATAAAGAGAGAGAAGTACTGATTTTCTCAAGAATAGTAACTCTGAAGAAGACTTCCGCTCAATATTATCAAGTAGACATCATGGATTCAGGTAAATTTTTTTGATTAAAGTTATTGTATATGTATTTTATGTGAAATCATATAGTTCCACGATTCTGAATAATTGATAGGATTTTATATAGATTGTTTATGAATCACAATCTAGAATTGTGAAAATTCTTACATGTGGTATCATGAGCACGGTTGAGGAATTGATGATTTTCCATTATGATTAAAGATTTCTTCTTTTCTGGTGAACCCTAATTTATAAACTAATAGTTGATGTGACTTCTAATGGATTCGGGATCATCTCTGTAAGTTGTAAATTCGAGTACGTGAATTTGGTTATAGCCAGTTAAAAGTTTGATGAAACAAGAATGGTGTCATAATTGATCAATAGTAACACCTCAAGACTACTGATTAATAGAGGCATAAATAATGTCTTAGATCCCGTTTGATTTTAGCACTCTCTCTTTGTGGAGAAAGTTTGTATTTGATATTGAGGCAGACAAACAGTATATATGTATGCAATTATTGGAATTATAAAACTATTTAAAATAAGTATTTCAGTTATAGTAATTTTACAACAATAATGCCTCCTAGAACGTTGTTAGGCAGAGACCTGGTAAAGTATTACTCTCGTTGGAATTATAGTTCTTTGCTGTAATATTATTTCTGCTTTGAATTGGTAGAGCAGAATAACTCTTGTTTCTGACCGATTCTGTTAGATAATGAATTTCCGAAGTAACTTTAGAAAAATATTATTTTCACAATATTTGAAATTATATAAGTATGATTCGTTAATCACCAAAGTGGTCGAATCCTTATGAATACTTAATTCCAAATAACGATTGAATCTATACTCAATTACCTACAAATTGTGATGCTTATCAACGACATTATAAAATATTGGGTAAACTGTGCTCTCGATTATAAGACATTTATGGATCGCCCAAAGGTTGATCGTTTGTTCTTATAATTATTAAACATTAAGTCGATAATTTAAATGGTTCATTAGTTTTATTTATTTATCCAAAGATAGTAAATACTACTAACTTGTACATTAAAATTATGGAATTATGTAAAATTTATTTTAAACATCATTATTATAAAAGTTGTATTTTGTGTTTCGCCCAAAGGTGGACATCAATATACATTTTAGAGTAAAACATAAATCATTCTGAATTTAATAATATATTTAATTTTTAACTCAAAGCATTAATGAATGGACATATTTTATTTGCAGCACTCGCTCTTCATTCACACTCTGCTTCTGTTACGACCTTTAATGAACTCAACTTCTCAGATTGGTACGAACAGATCAAATTCCATGTTGGAGTTTTAGATCTTGATGTTGCACTTTATACTGAGAGGCCAACAGCTATTACTGAAACTAGTAATACTGAAGAAAGGTCCTATTTTAAGCACTGGGACAGGTCTAACAGATTAAGCTTAATGTTTATACAAATGAATATTGCGGGCAACATTAAGACTACTCTTCCCAAAACTGAAAGCGCGAAAGAACTTCTGAAACTTGTGGAAGAATGCTCCCAAACTGTTGATAAGTCTCTTGCTGGGACACTAATGGGTACTTTAACCACCATGAAATTTGATGGTTCGCGTACCATGCATGAGCATGTCATTGAAATGACAAATATAGCAGCAAGACTTAAAACTTTGGGAATGGAAGTGGATGAGAATTTCCTTGTTCAATTCATTATTAACTCGTTACCATCTGAGTAAGGCCCTTTGCAAATGAACTACAACACCATGAAAGACAAATGGAATGTGCATGAACTGCACAGAATGCTAGTTTAAGAGGAAACAAGGCTGAAGAACCAAGGAATCCACTCCATTAACCTCGTAGGCCATCAAGGAGCTGGAAAGAAAGAAAAGAAACATGGAAAAGTTAAACAGAGGCAACATAATGTTAACGAGTCCTCATCTCAAGTACGTAAGAAGGAATACAAGAATGATAAGTGTCGTTTTTGCGGAAAACCTAGACACTTTCAGAAAGATTGCCTGAAACGTAAGGCATGGTTCGAGAAGAAAGGTAAGCCTTGTGCTTTTACGTGTTTCGAATAAAATTTAACTGAAGTTCCTTATAATACTTGGTGGATTTACTCTGGCTCTACTGTTCATGTTTCTCATATGATGCAGGGATTCCTTACAACCCATACCATAAATCGGAATGGAAGATTTGTGTACATGGGGAATAGAGTGAAGGCTCCAGTTGAAGTTGTCGGGACTTATCGTTTAATCCTAGATACTGGGCGTCACTTAGACTTATTTGAAACTTTTTATGTACTTCTCTTTCAAGAAATTTAATTTCCTTGTCTAAGTTGGATAAAGCTAGATATTTTTAAAATTTTGGCAATGGATGTTTTAGTTTGTTTAAGCATCATCTTATTGGTTTTGGTATTATTTGTGATAATGTATACAAATTGAACCTTTATAATCTGTTTGCCGAAACCCTCCTAACTCTGCATCATAAGGTTGGAACCAAACGTAGTTTGGTGAATGAACATTCAACTTACTTGTGACATAAACTTTTAGGTCGCATATCCAAAGAAAGACTAGAAAGGCTAGTTAAGAATGAAGTCTTTCCACATTTGGATTTTATGGACCTTAATAGTTGTGTGGATTGTATTAAAGGAAAACAAACAAAACACACAAAGCAAGGAGCCACAAGAAGTACTCAGCTTCTTGAAATTATACACATCGACATATGTGATCCTTTTGATGTCACTTCTTTCAGTAAGGAAAGATATTTTATCACCTTTATTGATGATTTTTCACATTATGGATATGTCTATTTGTTGCATAAAAAATCTCAAACAATGAATGCCTTAGAGGTATTTATTAATGAGGTTGAAAGACAACTAGACAGAAAGGTGAAAATAATTAGGTCAGATAGAGGTAGTGAGTATTATGGAAGATATGACGAAACTGGACAACACCCTGGTCCATTTGCTAAATTCCTTGAAAAACGTAGCATATGTGCTCAATACAGAATGCATGGCACTCCACAACAAAATGGTGTGGCTGAAAGGCGTAATCGTACATTAATGGACATGGTTAGGAGTATGTTGAGTAATTCATCTTTACCCATCTCATTGTGGATGTATGCATTAAGGACTGTCGTATACTTGCTAAATAGGGTTCTTAGTAAAGCAATCCCAAAAACTCCTTTTGAACTTTAGACTGGTAGGAAACCTAGTTTGAGGCACCTGCATATTTGGGGTTGCTCGGCAGAAATAAGAATTTATAATCCACATGAAAAGAAACTAGATTCAAGAACAATCAGTGGTTTCTTCATTGGTTATCCAGAAAAATCAAAAGGGTATAGATTTTACTGTCCAAATCACAATACGAGAATAGTTGAAACTGGAAATGCTAGGTTCATTGAGAATGGTGAAAATAGTTGGAGTGAGCAACTACGTGATGTGGAAATTAAAGAAATCATGATGCAAGTTTCCCTACCTTGCACTTCTTCCAAACTTGTTATTCCTGAAGTTGTTGTACAACCTAACAATCACAAGAACAACAAATAAATGATCCTACTACTAATAATGAAATTACAGTTAATGAACCTATAGTAGATGAACCACAAGTAGTAGCATTAAGAAGGTCTCAAAAACAAAAGAGATATGCTATTTCAGATGATTATTTAGTTTATCTACATGAGTCAGCAATTGATTTTAGAATTGATAATGATCAAGTTTCATTTTCACAAGCCATTGGAAGTAATAATTCTGATAAATATTTAGATGCTATGAAAGATGAGTTGAAGTTTATGAAACAGAATAAAGTTTGGGACCTTGTTGAATTATAGGAAGGTTGCAAAAAGTCGTGTGTAAATGGGTCTTTAAGACCAAACGCGACTCAAATGGCAACATTGAACATCACAAGGCCAGACTTGTTGCCAAAGGTTTCACTCAGAAAGATGGCATTGACTATAAAGAGACATTTTCACCGATCTCTAAAAAGGATTCTGTCATGACCCCAAACCAACCCGGTCGTGATGGCACCTAACATGAAACTAGGCCAGTCGACACAAACCCAAAACCAATCAGTATTTTCCATTCTTAGGATAAAATTAAATCTATTTAACAATAAACCTTTATATAATGTTTAAAATAAAACAACAGTGCGGAAAGAAAGCCCGACATCGGGGTGTCACTAGTCATGAGCATCTACTACAATTATCCGACAACCTCAAGACCAACATGGTCGGGGAAAATCACAAAGTACACTAAGGGAGAATAAAGAGGGAGAAAAGCAGGGCTGCAATCGCCAGGCAGCTACCTTGCTAACTCCGATGAACCTGCTACCGAGCTCAGAAATACCTGGATCTGCACATATGGTGCAGGGAATAATGTGAGTACGCCAACTCAGTAAGTAATAAAAGTATATAAAGATTGAGTAGTAGGAAACGATAAATCCACATCATGATAAACTCAGTAAGCACAACAAGCTTTCAAATCAGAATAGGAGTCAATCATCTCATTTAAAATCCAGCTTTTGGTAAATATCATTTGAAGATGCTTGCCAACAGTTTCAATAGAGGTTCAATACAGTTTATAGTAAAAGTGATGAAAATCATAATCGGCCCCTTGGGAAAAATATAGTTCGTATACAGCCCTCAGGCAAACATAAATCGTATACATCTCATAACAGAAAAATCTCAGTGGAAATAACAAAGCCAAATCAGTGATTAAATTCCGAACATCTCGTAAAAACTCCAGTTTTAATGAAAGCTGTTTAAAAGCATTTGTTCAACATTTTCAACAGAGGCTTAGTATAAAGAGGAGTGAAAATAGTAATTTCATAAAAATAAGCCCCTCGGAGCAAAGCATCACTCATATATATATATAGCCCCTCGGGCAAGCCTCTTAGTCACTCGAGACTCAACTCTCATCAATCAGCGCTCGCACTCACTCACGCTCAATAGGTACCTTATAATAATTGTTGCGGCGTACAGCCCGATCCATAAATATATATAGTTGACTACGCTCACTGGGGGTGTGCAGACTCAGAAGGGGCTCCTCCAACCCAAGCGCTATATCGTTGCGGCGTACAACCCGATCCATATATATATATCGCGATGCGGCGTGCAGCCCGATCCATATATATATATCACGATGCAGCGTGCAGCCCGATCCATAAATATATAATTCTCACAACCAGGCCCTTGCCCTCTCTCAGTCATCAACCTCATAATCAGGCTCTCGGCCTTTCTCAGTCATTAACCTCATGGTCAGGCCCTCGGCCTCTCTCAACCATCAACCTCACAAGCCACTCGGACTATCAGTAAAATAGGGCATTCGTCCCAAAATATCATTTATAGTATCAAACTGAGTAAATAGAATGAGTTATGAAATCAATAGAACACAGCATGACTGAGTACAAATATTAAGTCAAAACAGTGAGGACTAATAGTAAAAAAAGCCCCTAAGGTCCAAACAGTTGGCACGAGGCCAAATGTGGCATTCAACTCAAAACATAATAATACTTTCCAAAATACAATAGTATCAGATAATTTTCAATCCAATACACGACGTAATAGTCGTACGGGGCGGACCAAGTCACAATCTCTAATGGTACACGACCCCACGCTCGTCATCTAGCATGTGTGTCACCTCAAAGTAGCATGACGATATGAAATCTGGGGTTTCATACCCTCAAAATAATATTTATAATCATTATTTACCTCAAACCGGACGAAAATCCTACTCCGTGACGCCTTTGCCTCTCGACTCGGCCTTAACTCGCCTCGAATCTATCCAAAAATCAGAATCATAATATCAATATATGCTAAAGGAGCAAAGCCCACGCGAAAATTATCAAATTAAACTCAAAATCCCGAAATTGGCCAAACCCGACCCTGGAGCCCACGACTCGGAATCTGATAAAAATCACAACACCAGAATTATTATCCTCTCATAAGTCTATACATACCAAAATCATCAAAATCCGACATCGAATGCCCATTCAAATCCCCAAAATCATCTCTCCAATTCTCTTCCATTTCTCCCCCAATTTTCACCCCAATTTTCCAATTTAAATAATAAAAATCAAGATACAATCATGGAATTTAACCAAAATTAAGTAAAGAACACTTACCCCAATCACTTCTCTGAAAATCCCTTCAAAAATTGCCTTATGCCGAGCAACCACTTCCATTTTATGTTATGAACTCGGAACCCTCGTTTGAATCTTATAAGTCTGCCCAGATATGCATTCATCGCGATCGCGGAACAACCATCGCGATCGCGAAGAGGAAGAAGAAGATGCCCCTAAATAATCTTATGCGATCGCATAATACACTTCGCGATCACGTTAAGCTCCACTGACTAAACTACGCGTTTGCGGAACTGACCTTACGAACGCGAAGAGGTAACCATGCTCCCTCAGCTCAGACCCAACACTACGCGAACGTGTGCTCACCGTTGCGAACACGATGCTCCATCTGCCAAAAGCTACGCGAATGCAGAGCCATCTTCGCGAACGTGAAGAAGAAACAAACAACCTCAGGTCTTTCCCTTAAGCGAACGCGTTCATCTCTCCGCAATCGCGATGAAGAGAAAAGACACCAGATGCAGAATCATACGAGCACTGAAATCATAGGGAAAAATAGCTCGAAATCAATCCGAAACACGCCTGAGCCCCTCGGGACCCCGTCCAAATATACCGACGAGTCCCATAACATAACACAGACCTACTCGAGGCCCCAAAACACA